CAGGTCCACGAGGAAGAAGAGGCTTTGCACTGCTCTCCAGACAACTTTTCGAAGAACAAGAGAGGATATTTGAGCACATTAGGTTGCCTGTCTTCATTCTGGGTGCCTACTCTTCACATTATTCCACCAACTTAATACATAAATGAATTTTTAGTATAATATGAACCTGTTCTGTGTGTGTTTAAAAGCCTCCAATGGCAACTTTTTTCTCTCCCAACTGTCCAAAGTGGGGTTTTCCCCATCCCTTAAAAAACAAAACAAAAAAAACATTTCTTCACTCCCAAATTGTCCCCCTGGTGTGTGCCTTTGCTCTGTCTTGTTACGTATTGCATCTTGCTACATGTTCTGCATTTGCTCAGAGCAACTGGGTGCTAAGGAATTTGGTCTGCTGCTCCTCTGGGAAAGTTTGGTGAGCTGGTATAAGGAGGTGATGAACAAGGCTGTAAACTACAGGATGAATGAAAATGATACATAAGCTTCCTAATATTTGTGAACATGTTCTTTAACATACCATACGTAGTTTCTATGTATATGTAGCATAGCAAAAGAAACTTGTTAAGGTATAATTAAGTGGTATGCATGCCTTTGTAAATATCAACCATCAGAAGAAACCCAGAATGAAAGGTTGTGAAAGATCCCAGGAATGATAAAGACTTTATTGACTAAAGGCCATGAAGCTTCATCAGGAGTTTAGTTATCCTCACATAGCATTACCTAAGAATGCTGTCATAGTAAATTTCTGAAGCACTTTACCTAAGAATGCTGTCATAGTAAATTTCTGAAGCACTTTATCTGTTACAAAGAACGTTTGTAATTTCCCTTTCTTATTTGATCTTACCCTGGCTTTAGTCAGGAACACCTGCTCAGTTAGAAATGTATTCAGTGAGTATGTATGCAATTGGAGAATGTGCCCCGACACATGCCGCCTTTGGCCTGTATGCTGGAGTCCTAAAGAGGCAGACCATGTTGATGAGCTTGGTGCCAGCATGGTGCACCATTCATCCTGACACATAATTTCTGATAAAGAGGGTCATGACTGGGAAAAACCTCAGATTCTACTTGCTTCTCTTCTCCACGTTATTAGACATTTTCCCCCTCTTGAATTTTATAAGCACACTCCTTTTAAAACAATTAATAATGAGTGCTGGCATTTGATGTAGAATTGCGTATTTGTAACTGCAATGGCACTGGTTTTCAATACCCTGAAACAAGGAAAGCAATCCTAACCAGCAAGAGAAGCAGACTTGTTTCTGTGCAACATCACAGGCATGGGAAATTATTCAGATATGGAGATATCAGGAGTTACGTAAATTGGAAATGTAACCAAAAATCTTTTCCATCAGTGAACAAAGCCTATTTTAAAGTGCATGTTGCATTTTCAGATCTTTCTCTTGCTTTTTCCCAAAGTCACAGTATAGTTTCTGAGGAGGGACACACTGGGAAAACTAAGCACATATTTAAACAATGAAATTTAAGGTGTAAAAATTCTGCATTTGTGACAAATTTGATGTTCACTCTTTCCTTGATTTAAATAGAGCATTCTAAAAATATTACCCCTATAGGGGACACATTTTTATATGCATGTTATTTTTGTTTACAAAGTATGGGCTAGTAGAGAGTGAAAATGACCTTGGCTATTGTACTTACTTATTGATAGAAATAATAGCATCTTCATGTCTGGATTCAAATCTCTACTTATCACACGACATCCATACGTTTCAAAGAGAAGACCTAGACTGAATGATAACAGGAGTCTGGGGCTTCCTACATTCCCCTGTGTTTGTGTTCATACAGAATATGCAATATTCTGACTTGGTCATAATCTATAATTCCTGGCTGTTATTCTCAGTTGCAACTATAAATTCTAGATTAATGGTTATAATTTTGATAAGGCATAAATGAAAAGTTATATGTTCATGCTTGAAAGGAAGATCATTAAATATTCATTATTACCACTCAAATTAGTTGTCATGCTCTATATAATAGTTACCCATGATCATTTCACTAGTTTGGATTCAGCAATAAGTGAACAGCAATATATAGCTCATAGCACCAGAGGACTTTTTTTTGTTGTTGGGGAACAGGGAGAGAAATGATTTAAAACCCATTTGACATATTTATGCTGACAAATTATTTAAAGGAATTACTGTGTTGTAATAAACACGTTTGTATGTTGGAATAGGATTGTGGCTAAATTTGCTTCTAGCTGTTTAATTACTTTATTATGATTGTGAAAAACAGTGCTTCTTCAAGTATTTCCAAGGAAAAAAATATAAAATATAAAGGTTGAACTATTTCAGTCTTTTGCAGATATCTAACCTTGTCATGAAAAAGCACTTTTCATTTTTGTAAGTAGGCATTGAAATCTTGCTTCTTCATTAAAGCTAGATTGTATAATTTGTTAATTTTCTCCATCTGGTAACACATCCGTAAGAAAAAAAATGCCAAAAGTAAAACATGAGATGGATTTTTAAATAAATGTTGTGGATGGACAGATACAGAGATTGTGTTTTGTCAATGCATTTTGGTAAGATATGAGTAAAAATAAATACGGAGATATTTTAGTGTAAAAACATTTTGCTTTTGTTTTCCACATACCTTGGTATTCCAATTCGGTTATGTGAAGATATTAGGGCAACCACATAGTTTTTTGGATCACATGTATGAATCATTCCATACTCCTCAGTAATTTTAAATTGGTTCTTTTCCATAGGAAAAGAACCATAAATTTGATTCTGATCTCATCTTACTTTAGAGCTTTCTGTTTTAAAGAGTCAAATTGTAGCTGATGAACACATTTTGCATTTTTTCACATCGCATCTGGACTCTTCATAACGATGGTTTATTTTATTTTTTCTGCACAGAGGAGAGGAAAAATATATAGGTCCATGAATCAATCTAGATAATGGGGAAGGCTGACTGTAATAAATAATACGGTAACAACCCTAAACTAATGAGCTGTTGCTAAGGTACATTTCATAGGCTCATCCTCTATATAAAAAGTCACTAATAACCCCTTGGTGTAATCAGATGATAAAGCTTTGCCATAAGGCAACACCTGTGCAATTAGAACTGCAGATTCTTTTGCACGTTTCATTAATTTCAGGATTTTGTAAAGGCACAATGACTACACTAATAATCTAGTCTACTTGACTCCATGTCTACTGGAAACAAAGTGTCTAATTAGATAAAGGTAATTAATTAGAGATAAATGGAGCTAATCAGGCTCAGTTAACACTAATTCTCTGAATTAAGACATTTTGGGACACCTCCTATCCCGCTGACTTTGATATTTTGCATTAAGAATAGGTTTAGAGGAGTCAGAAAATACTGGCATTTGAGAATTGAGCAGTCTTTTGATGGCATATTTAGGCATCTGAAGCTAAAGAAGAGTTTTTTTTTTTTATATTGTGCTATTTTACCACCTTTCTATAGCAGCTTAAAGAATTCACTTTGTAGTTATTCCAATCTGTGCTAGTCTCCATATAAATTTTAATAACCTTTGCTATCATTTTTATTATCTGTCTAGCCCACCAATGGAAGAAAGTCACAGGTTGTTCTATCTCTTAAATAAAGACTTAACTTGTTACATTAAGGAAATGTCAAGACTCATCAGCCTATATCCTAAAATTCTGATCCTTTAAAGAGAACAAACACCTAAAATTCTGATCCTTTAATTCCGATTCTTTAAAGAGAACAAACCTCTGCTTTGCAGTGTGGGACTGAAAATTCAATGATGTGGGGAAAGAGCATGGGCTTTGAAGTCAAAAGACCTGAATTCAAATTCCTGTTCTATTGCTTCCTAAATGATCTTAGAAAGTAGTTTACCATCTCTAAATAAAATAGAAATAATATTGATTCACATAATACTAACTCTGCAGAGTTGTCATAAATATTGAGTGACGTACCTATATTTAAAGATTGGTTGTCATTACCTGTTAGGCTGGGATTGAACACAACCCAGTACCATATCTCAACTGACTACAAGATTAAGTGTTAAAAACATTACATTTTATCTCAACCTCATGATAATCTGTGAGCTGCATTTAAATGTGTAGAAAGGGAAAAATTAAGAATTTTCTCCCAAATAGTCCATCAGAAAAAAAAAAAATCCACCGGTTTTTCAGTTGGAGAGTGTGAATTTACCTGCCTTGGTTTTCTACCTTGAAATAGTTATCCCTCTTGGCAAGTTGTTCCCAGTCCACAAGAGAACGTAATTGAACTGTGGGATATAGCTTAATATAAAGTGGACATTTAAGTCTTTCTTCTAAAGTGTCTCCGAGAATACGCCCCTTGCTCTCTCTGGTCTCTGTTCTAACTTACCTGGACCACTCCTAGATTGCTCTCATAGTTTTCTAACTGGTATCCCTGCTTTCATTTCTTTTTCCTGTAATTCATTGTCACCAAATTAATCTTCACAGGACACATTCTCCTCAAGATCATAAGCAGTTTGATTCCTTGTTAAATTAACATCCTATCACATAAGCAGCCATATCTGGTTCTATATTTTTATACAGCTTGATCTCCTACTGCTCTCCCTGCCAATGAAGACTTTACTGTTCTTCACCACACTCATCTTTGTTTTTACGCTCTTATCCAAGCCTGGAAACCTCTGTCTTCTTCTTTCAAGACTGATTTCAAATCCTGCCTTTTCCCTGATGCCTTCCTTAGGAACTCTGGCCTACCAAGAGCATTCTCATTCCCACATGCCCACAACAGCTCTCAATGGCATTATACCTATTAGCCATGGCTCCAGCAGTGATGGGTCAGTAATCCTGCTTCCCTTGTCTTTCCAACACTGCTGAGATGAGACGTCTGAGGTCAGGAACCAAATTCTCCTTGTGTGCTCGGCCTTGCTCACCATCCTCTTCCCCCAATCTCCAACTTTCACAGAGTGTGGGCCACCAAAGGACACAACAAAACAATACCTGTGTAATTGATTCGTGAGCTGTGGCCTGGCCAGGTCCTTGGGCAGTGAGATCTACATGGCTTTTGTAGTAACCCTGGGCTTTTTGCTGACTTTGGGCTGGGCTGAGTGCTGGGCTGAGTCTTTGTGTATAGAGATAAGATAATAACCTTGATGAGAGACCTGCTTTATGTCCCTGAGGCTTTGTGTTTGGCTTGTGTGGTATCTGCCTTTTATAACATGCAGTGAGAGAATGCCAGGAAATGACTGTTAGTATTTCATGACAATCGGAATGTCTAGCAAGCCATCATACTACTTCTCCAGCAAACATTTCAGAAAGAGCTGAGCAAGCAAGGGCTGATTAACAACATGTATTAGAGCCTGTGAGAGTTAATTTTGTGTGTCAGTTTGACTGGAACATGGGACTGGGATAGGGGGTACCCAGATTACACATTTCTGGTGTCTGTGAGGGTGTTTCTGGATGAGGTTAGCATTTGAACTGGTGGACTAAGTAAAGCAGATTGCCCTTTCCGATGTAGGTGGGCATTAGTCAAGCCACTGATGACTTGAATAGAACAAAAAGACCAAGGAAGAGGGAATTCACTCTCTCTGCCTACTTGAGCTGAGCTATTAGTCTTTTCTTGCTGTTGACTATGACTTACGCCGTCAGCCCTCTGATTCTTAGAACTACACCACTAGCTTTCCTGGGTCTCCAGCTTGCAGGCAGCAGATTTTGGAAGTTAGCCTCCATAACTGCATGAGCCATATTTCTCCAGAGAATCCTGAATAATTCAGAGACCTTTAATGCAGCTTCTTAGTGAATGCTCAGGGCAGGTTTTCCATGGAGACTTCATGCCAGAAAAATCATGTGGATTAGAAACTCGTGGATTAGATGTCCAGTTTGACTAATTGTAGTTGTTGCAAAAATACCCACAATATTTTTTTCCTTTCTTTTTTCTATGCCCCTTGATAGTACCCTTTCAACACTGACTCTAAGTTTGGCCTTATAATTTGCTTTAGCCAGTGAGACAGGAACAAACAGGTCATAGGCAGAGACTTGAAGAATGCTTGACTATCAGTACTCACTCTCTGGCTGCTCTTGAAATCCTGAGCTACCCTGTGAACGATACCCTGAGCTAGCCTTCTGGATTATGACAGACATGTGGCCTCACATCTCCCTTTCTCCAGCCAATAGTCACCAACCCCAGAAGTAGACTTACCTAGCCAATCAGCAGTAGATCACAGAAGCACCTGTGGGTCCAGATGAGCGCAGAAGAAGAAAGAAGGACATACACCAGTGAACTAAATAGAAAGTTATTTAATTAAACCTTAAGTTTTTGGGTCATTTGATACACAGCAATAGGTAACTGATACACTGGTTGTAGGTTATTTAACTGCTTAAACTTAATGGAAATTTAGAGAACATTAAATATTTGGTCTCCAATCTTGGAAGATATTTAAGCAGGAGCATCATGGTGGCTTCAAGAGAATGGAAAAACAAAGAAGCCTTGTCAGTCTTGAGAAATAAGATAATGTGTTCAGTTTTCATCCTTTTGGGTCGGTACGCGTCAGGGTTGGAGTCAAGACCCCTAGAGAAGTGTTAGGCTGGAGTTGGAGATCTGTGTGTAAGGGAGAGCTGAAGTTGTGGGATAGGACCAGAATGAAGAGAAATTTAAAAGGTCAGGACTGTACTGTGGGAACTCAGACTGAGAACTGCAAGAAGGAGTGAGTGGCCAGCAAAGCTGATTACTAGAAAGGGTGAGCATGACAATAATAATGACTAGTAAGTGCAATTTATAATTTATAGAATTCACTTACATACATCTCATTTCAATTCAGTGGGGTAAAGAGGGTCGGGATCATTATTATGCCCATTTTGTAGGTGACAAAACAGGCACAGAGCCATTACGTGCTTTACAGATATCACCTATTGTATATGGTGTACACGGCGAATCCCAGATGTCTTAAAATCTATGCTGTTTTCACCTACTAGAGGCCCCTGGGATTGTAGTTAAATCTGTCAATGCGAAAGTCAATAACGACCTTTAAAGAAATGGCTTCAGGAGAGCTGGGGGTGGGGCGGATTGTAGCTGGAGGGGAGTGATACCTCATGGTGAGAATACACGAGGATATGGGAGATGAGGAACAGAACTCTGTTGAATGGCAGGAGAATGACCTGATAGGAACTTGAGGGATGCCAGGTTTGAAAGGAGGGTAGGGGTGACAAGATTGTAGATGGAATGGAAGGAGTCAGTGGAGAGGGAGAAGAAGAAAATGAAGCAAGAGAGAAAATACAAAATAGGGAAAATAAAAATGATGAAAATAAGTAAAAGAAAAAAATGAAATGAGAAATGTTTTTAAAAAGCAGTTCCTGAAGGAGTAGATGCCACTATCTAGAGAACAGGCAAAAAAAAAGGGCTTAGACTTAGGAGGGGCTGAGAGACTGGTAGGAAGGAGACGACAGTGAGAGATTTTGAGGTGGAGAAGAAGGAAGATGAGTCAGTTCACACCAGAATCTTCAAATCATAAGATCATTTTCACTCCAGAAGAGCAGTTTGCCTTCTTAGGAAGCACCTGACATGGATCTGCCTTTA